CTGCAAGAAAACCATCCAGCCCAGAGAGCACCCAAGGACCCCACAGTTCCTCCCTGATCTACAAATATTCTCTTTTATCAATCTTTTCCTCAGACCTGAAGCTCCTGGCTGCTACGTTGGAAAGACAAACCAAGAACCGGCTTGCTTTCTGACCGCAACGCTCCCGGGGTCTTTCACCTTGAGATTCCTTTGGAAGTTGCAGAGACCCACCGACTTACCTCTTGCGGACTCTCTGTCCCCGAGGGCCGCTTCAGTCTTCCTCCGTTGCTGACCAGCAGCTTTTGGTCTGGGGCGAGGGAGGCGTAAGGGGGCTCGCTGGGCTCGGCCTCTCCCAACCCCTCGGAGATGGTTTTCAGTTCCGTGGGGTTGGGTCTCTGCTCGGGGATACGGGCCACGCGGAACCTGGGAGGGGAAAAAAGCAAATGCGCCGTGGAGTTGCAACGTGGGTGGTGGAGAAGGAAAGTGTCCTGCCCCTGTTGGCTGTGGCCCCGTTGGCTGTGGAGGAAACTGGGGAAGGGCAAAGTCCAGCTGGGCAGAGCAGGGGAGAGGTAGAACAAGGGAGAGGGAATTTGGAGGAAGACCCAGGCCCACCCCCTCTTCATCCTAGAGCATGCAGCAAGGAATAGAGAAGGGAGCAACGTGGGTTGCATGGCTTACGGGGAAGGAAAGGGCCCTGATTCCCTTCATTAGGTGCACCTGGGAATGAGAGTTTTAGAGAGATGGAAGCTGAGAGCAGCGTCTGCTGCGAACAAATGTGAGTTTATCTTGTGTTGACTTCGGTTATCTGTGTTCCTGGCGTCTTCCCAACCGCGTTGAGTTATTGCCGTGCCTTCACATCTGGAATTCTTGCTCCTGCCCTGCCGGACTAATGACCTCATCTTGCCTTGCTTGGACTTTAAGTTACAGTTTGTGTTGACTATGTTTTGGACTTGATTCTCTGCAGCCCAAGTCTGTTCCTGGGAGAGTTTTTCTCCAGCCCAGAAGGTAACCAGGACATTTGGGGGCCAAGTTGGAGCTAATAAAGAGACTCCTACTGATGATCTGACTGGGTTGCCTTGGTGCCACGCCCCTTTGGGTCATCACCAAACACAGGTGCCATCCAAGCTGAAGGGATCCCGCAATTTTTGCACCATCCTCGACTTACAACCGTTTGCTTAGTGACTGCCCGAAATTACAACCGCACTGAGCAAGCCAACTTACAAGGAGTCCTCACACTTAACGACGGTCGCAGCAGCCTCGACATTGTCGCGGGGGTCAAAACGTGGGTGCTTGGCCACCAGCTTGTAGAAGTAGCCCTTGACTTAACAACGGTTCATTTAGTAAACGTTCCAGTCAACCTGGAATTAAGTTTCCCTGACAGGGAGAACAATTAACCAGTGGAACTACTTGTGACTAGAAGCTGTGGGCACTTCATCACTGGAGGTTTTTAAGAAGAGACTGAACCGTCACTTGTTTGGAATGGTATAGGGCCGTGATAGCAAACCTGTCGTGGCTCCGGGCTTGGATTCAGCTCCTGTGACTGATATGAGTTCAAGTGAAGAGGTCATGGCAGAACAATATGAGCCGGCCTGGCTTACTGATTGGACTGATAACCAGGATGAGGAGATGGACGTGACAAAGGACGACAGACCTGATGTATTAGAATTGTCAGGACCTTTGACCTCCTCTGGTTCCTTATCTGATCAACAGCCGGGAATGGCTGACAGGGAAGTTTTGAGAGAGTCTTCTAGTGGAGATGAGAACTTGGAAAATTTGTGGTTAAATGTAAAAAACAGAAGACGGTTGAGAGGGCAAAATCAGCTGGAGCGAATGAGAAGGGCAAGTCAGTAAATTAGCACGTTGCCTTAATGAGTATAAAAGGACACAGCTGGGCTGGTACATTTTGCCAGGAACAAAATAACTATTTGAGTGAAGACGTTACAGCAAAGAGCTCTGAGGCTGGAGATTTATTGCCAGGACTGGTTTGCCGGACAGAGTAAAGATTTATGCTGTGGTTTCTGCCAGCCGTTATCTTGCAAGACTTCTTTCCGTTTGATTTAATTGTGAAACGGCTGCTTTCTGTTTTGTTCGTTTGAATTTCGAAGGGGAGTCATAACACGAACCTATAGCACCCGTGTCACACATGGCACGCTGAGCCATTTGTGCAGGCACGAGAGTCCTAGCCAAACTTACCTGCACTGCGCATGCGCACGCCTCCAGCTGATTATCAGCCTGTTTGAGGCCTTTTTCACCCTCCCGGAGGTTTGAGGGAAGCCTTTGGAGCCTCGGGAGGCTGAAAAACGGGCCTTCCGTAAATACCGGAAGTGCCAAAATGGACCCTTTTTTTCGGCCTCCAAAGGCTTCCCTCGAGCCTCCGAGAGGGTGAAAAAGGCCTCAAACAGGCCGAAAAAATCAGCGGAGAGGCACGCACATGGGCAGTGCAGGTAAGGGGCGGGGTTGCGCTTGCATGCAGAGGGTGGGAGGGGCGCATTGCATTGTGGGTGCCAGCGCGCGTGCACGCTTTCGGCAAACCACAACCAAAAGGTTCACCATCACTGGGATAGGGTTTCCTGTATGTGCAGGGGGTCAGACTAGAAGACCTCCGAGGTCCCTTCCAGCTCTATTCTGATTGATTGAAAACTTGCAACGGCGTTGAAAAAAAGCGACCATTTTTCATACTTATGACCATTGTAAGCATCCCCACGGTCAGGTAATCCAAACTTTGGGCACTCGGCAACTGTTTCATATTTATGACGGGGGCAGTGTTCCCGGGGGTCACGTGATCCTCTTTTGTGACCTTCCGACATGCAAAGTCAAGGGAGAGAAGCCGGATTCACTTAATGACCGTGTGACTAACCTAACAATCGCAGCAATCCCCTGAACAACCCAGGGAAAGAAAGGTCATAAAATGGGGGCAAAGATCCACTTAGCAACGGTCTCACTTTAGCAACAATTATGGTTGTTAGACGAGGTCTACCTGTACCCTATTTCTCTGACTCCTCCTTCTAGACATTGTGTTGTGGCTCATGTGATGACCCAGGGCGGAATGCAAAATTAGCAGTCACAAAAACAGGTGAAGCCCCTTTTATTCCTTCACTTGGCTTCCAAGCTCCAAATGTCCTTGACTGGAGACAAAAAAACCTCCCCCACAAACAGTTACGAGAAGGAGGAAATGCCGTTTAAACTAAAAATGTCTATAAATTATAAAGAGGAAAAACAACACAAACCACACTGAAGCAATGAAGGGAACCAGGCAAGTTAAGGGCTTGAAGACGTCCACAGATATCGGAACACACACTGGGAAGGACGCCAAACTCAGAGAGGAACCATAAACTAGAGATATTTCCATGCTTTGTTTCCAGCGCTCGCCCATACGCACGTCCGTCCTCTTATGCAGTTGTCACAGCTGCAGCCCATGAAGGGGATCAGGGCCCTTTCCTCCCCCGTAGACCATGCCATTCACGTTTCTCCCTTATCCTTTCCTCCCTGTGTGCCCTAGGATGGAGACGGGATGGGCCTGGGTTTGACCTTCCCCAACTTCCGGAGCCACACTTCCATGCCCTGTCAGCTGGTCCTCCTCTTCCTCAGAGTCAGACTCCAACAGGGGCATGACAGGCCCGCCGAGGGCTGGTGGAGCTGGCAGCAGAGTCAGACAGTAGTGAGGAGGTTGGCGAGGAACCTGGGCCTGTCTTGGAGGTTGAGGAAGGCTCGGACGAGGGCTCTGCAACTGAGGCAGAGATGGGGCCAGGGTAGGCTGGCCGTCATCAGCCGCCTTCGGGCTCGGACAGCAGTGGGGCGAGGGAGCTTCTTGAGCCAATTCCCAACCTGCGCATGCGCAGAGCTGCCAAAAGGAAGGCACAGTTAAGAACTCAGGGTTGACGTGGGAGTAAGGCCACAGGTGGACGATGGATGGCCCCTCCCATTGGGATTAAAAGAGGACCAAAAGGGGAGGGGGCCTTTTGCAGGAAGCAATTCATTCATTGCAGCAGTGCGAAGCCCCCATCTGTGCCTCTCAGAGACTCTGTGCTAAGCCCTTCCTTGTCAGCACTGAGTTTGGAAATATTTACCGGGCAACTTTCCAAGATAGATAAGGTTTGAGCTCCTAATTACACCCTTGAAAGACTGTTGGCCGGGCCCTGGGCTGGATGTGGATGCAAGAAATTCACCTTCATTTTAATAAAAGAGGTTTTGCCAGGACGAAGAGTCGCCTTTTGCAGGAAACCACTCACTCGTTCCTTCATTCCAGCCTCACGAAGATTTGTCTGTATAACCCAGCCCTTCCCTGTCAGCACTGAGTGTGGAATTATTTACCGGGTAGCGTTCCAGGATCGATAAAAGGTCTGAGCTCATTAATATACCTTTGCAAGACTGTTTGCCAAGCCGCTGGCTGACCGCGAATGAAGTAAATTCACATTAATGTAACAAAAGAGGTTTTTGCCGGGACTCAGAATTGACTTACTGCTTTTTGGGGAGGCCTACGACAGGACAGACATGATACATAAGAGTTTCACCTCTTAAGGACTAGAAACTTGGGTTTTATAAAAATAAAAATGAACAACACAGAAGTGGCTGAATCTTATACTGGCCTGGCCAGTCATTCCAAGGGGCACCTTGAGCCTTACCTGCCCACGGAGAGGATGGTGATCTCCCCCGGCCGGGGGGGTTTCGGGGCGTGGCTGCCAGGCAGGACCGTGGTGGAGACGGCTTCGGTGGCCCGCAGCACCTCCGGCCACTTCTTCTGGCTGCAGCGGGTGCAGGAGGGGCCCGAACGCATGGCCAGCCCCTGGACGGTGTGCAGGTGGTGCTGATGCCGGCATATGTGTGGGATTTGGGGCAGGAGGTGCAATCTGGATGGGGCAGAAGTGACCATCATTTATAGCAGGGGCCTCCAACCTCAGCTATTTTAAGAC